AAGGTTCTTTTAATCAAATCGTGGCTTTGTTAACATAAAAATATACTAACATGAAGCGTTTTGAAAAATCTGTAAGTATAACAAATTAATGACCAATTATTTATGACATTTATGTGTATTTCTTACGTAAAAAAGCAATTTTGTAGTAGCTATGTACATTTTTATACATGATTAGTGATAACAATAACACAATCAAAAATGTATTTACGGTGAGTTTTTTAAATTTTTATGAAACTTGTATGAAAGGAAAACGAGCACAATTGCTCAATAACTAAATAAAAAAATGGCAAATTAATATTTTTCTTTTCGGGGGGTCATGATAAGTGATGTATAATTGTCTTATATTGTTAATAGAGGTTTGTTATTCAGATATTTCCAAGTCATGATCAATTTAGCACAAGCAAACGAAATTGTTGAATGCAAGTAGGTCTATATAAAAATGAGCAATTTATTTGTCTGCATGTCAAAAGGCATCAATTAACAAGTACAATCCTGGCGAACTGAATAAAAGTAATTAGTACTCACCCAATGATATGTAGAAAATGATTTCGGCACAGATATTTTGTTAGATAGTAATTAAAGTAATTAATTTAAATTGTATGCTGACAGAAGTTACATTAAAATGATACAGGTATAAGCAATGGTGGCTCAAGATGAAATTAAGCGGGAGTTCTGCAAATGTTTACTAACCTAATTTTTGAAATTTAATTCCGTTTTACAATCCTTCATAGAAGCAAACTTATCTATAACACTCTGGTTGAAGCTAGCAATTTTTGATAAGAGCTTTGGAGGGTGTAAACTGGATGCATGGTGAGTTCAGCAGTGTGGTTAAGGGCAAAACAAAACATTTTAAGATAATCACAATAATTTACAATGTAAAGTCAGTCTTGCATGTGAATTAGCAATGTAGTTATTTCCGAATTATATTCTCCAATAAGAACTCTACAACTACCTATGGAAAATGTAAACATTATTGTCAAACGTCTAAGAAAAACAAACTATTTAGTGCTACATATAATGGTTTGATTAATTAAATTAAATAAGTACATTACAGGCAGCGCTATGTGAATATACGAACACAAAAGAAAGAATGTTAAGTTACATAAACATTATTCAGTAAATGAGCATCATCTAGATAATCGTAATTTTGTAAGTGATGGTAGTAACCACCAGCTAATTGATTGAAGCGTTGCGGGGACGTATTTCTTTACCAGGACCGGAATTGAATGTACCTGTACTTTCAACTGTTTTCCTCGAAAACTGCAAACTTTCGAACATACGAACTTTGGATTTGAGTTGGCTTGCGCAAAAAAAAACGATTTTGAATAAGCTTTATTAATTAGGTCGCAAAAATTAATAATTTAACACCTACATGTAGACATATGAGAGCCGCCCCTGGATATAAGGTACTTAATTCAATTTAAACTTAAGCAGGAAAACATCAAGAAAAGGTGTTTATCTTTACAGGTGATATGTACGTCTCAAAACTTTCTTTTTAGCATCACAGCTGACGCGACGTACAGATTATGTGAGTGTCTACTTTAAACTTAATGAATGGTGTTCGGGTTCTCATCAAGAACAGATTCAATTACCATAAAATTAGAGTTTAGATTAAAAATGACCCAGGAATTTCATCATAAACTTACCGTTTCTTATATTGACACATTGCACATGTAAGGAATTCATAATTAGAAGGAAAACATAGAAATTTTGATACTGTTAGGAATTTCTGACATCACCGCCCATTATACATAGGTACGTGCTAACCAGCAACAATTATTCTTTGCTATATTCATAAAAATAAATTAGTATGAAACAAATGGATTCTAGGAAGTCAGATAACTCACAATGGAAGGAGCAGTAGAGATATGGCTCAGGGTTGAGTCGCCTTCAATAAAAAGAAGTCACTTCTATACTAACGGATAATGTAGAAATTCTTAAAAGGTAGTTAAAGGTGGTATGTCTAGAGCTCGGCGTTGTCTGGGTGCGAAACATGCACGGTAGGCGCAGCGGAAAAGAGAACGTTAGAAGCGTTCGAAGTGTAGTGTTACAGGCGAATGATGAGGATACCGTGGGTAGAGAAGGTTAGAAATTAGAAGGTATTAGAAAGGATAGAACAGAGGTCAGTATGAAAGTAGATGAGAAATAGGCGAGAAAAATTGGTACGACACCTTCTTAGGCATGAAGGGCTGGTTAGGGATGTATTAAAAGCAGAAACAGGAGTTAAGAGAAAAATATAGGCAGACCTTGACTATATTACAGTTCATAAATAGGTAAGGATGTGGAATGTTCTTGTATTAAGACCGAGCGGCATGGCCTAGAGGTCTAGACCATTGCTTAGCATTCGGGAGGACGCGGGTTCGATTCCGGTTCCGTCTGCCTTGGTCCAAGTTTTTCTGTGGTTTCCTTGGATCACTTAGGCAAATGCTGAGGCAGTAATATTCCACAGATAATCTTTCATTCTCTTCTGTCTTCATTTCGTCCGTCTCATCTTTCTCACCCGAACCATCCATTCTCACGATTCCTGAAAGCAGGCTGAAGAGGGCCTTCCGCCCTACCTTCCGGCATAGTCCGGAGGGACTGCCCGCCCACCAGCATTACTGGCTGGTGGGAATGAAACACCCAAAAGTTTTTTTTTTAGTTTTTCTTGTTTTAAGGAAATGCGAATATTAGCCCAGGACAGGAAATAGTGGAGGTGGATGTCCTACCAGTCTTAGGACTGACGACCTTGTAATGATGATGGTACATGACTTCGTTAATTATTACAAGACTGACCATCCCAGCAGTTGCCAAGAATCTTTATACCATGACAAATCAGCAGCGACTGATGCTGATCACGTTTGCTATTGTCGTAATTATACATTCATTTGTTTAATTACTTTTCTGGGTGATTTTCGCATTTCCTTTGGTTATTGTTAAATTACACTTTCAGTAAAAGGTATATAAGCAACTTTTCTTTTCCGTTAAACTGTTTTTGGCTCCCCTATTCCGCCCAGTTGTGGTAAGTGTACGTAAGTATGATATTCTGGTTCTGGCGATAACATTACGAGTCAGTAGTAGTAATAATATGGGGATTAATAGGAATAGCAGAATCCGGATCTTGGCTCACACCTGCTCGATTTATATAAAGTTATCACCAGTGTTAATTGAGATATTGCCAATCAGAGTAGAAGTGCACTCGTGTTTCCTTTCGGAAAACATTAACTTTTCCTTAACATTTGTGGCAATAATTTTTATATTGACATTTGTTTTATGATGTTGCCGCCTTTCTCTCGATTTATACGTATTACCGCAATTTTAACGACACACGCTTCTGTTTCTAAACCCTCATTACTTTCGCCTGTTACAATAATTTCATCTTTCGTTAGTGTTAAACCAATATACGACTGGCTGACTTTAACTGTTCGAAGTAGGTGAGCGAGCAACAATTACAACACTTTAGAAAAAGTGCACGCATTGTATAAAGATGCGCGTTAAGTAACGTTTACTACATTACAAGCATCGCATTACAGTGGCGGCTGATAATTAAAAAGAGAGGGAGCAGGTGTCTAAAACGTTTTCAGTTTTCTTTTTAAGAAAAAGACAATTACTTTCAATACGATTGTAAAAAATCGAATGGATCATTTTCTTTAAAGATATTAAGACGTTGTTAGTATAATAGAAAAATAGAGTATTTTTAACAGGATAATGTTAAAATCTTTCACCTTGTCGAACATTTAGAAATACCACAGTTAGCATCTAATATCAGTAGATGGTGATATACTGTTTGCACCTTGATACTATATCAACTAGCGTCTGCGAAACAACTTCGATTTGATAGGTAATTTATTAAAAGTGCTTATGGCGTGCTGATGAGAAATAATAAGTTCGAAATTAAAAACTTATTGTTCTTTATTAAAGACGGCGTATTCACATAAGAGCCCATGATGGAAAATTCTTAGTTTTCCAATAAATTTTAATCGCTTTAAAAGGAATGAATTGAATTATATTGCTTTTTATTTATATCTTCTTGTCTTTCACTGTGCTTTATAGTGCACCACTGAATTGTTGTTGAGCTTTGTACAATATTACAAAGCTTACCACATTCCTTAGGTTTAGCTTAGGGAATTAATACGAAATATACTTTCCCCAACCGAAGTTGACGAATGTTATGGTAATTGATGTTTATTTATGGTAATACAACTTTAATCAGTACGATGCATACCTGATGAGTGACCGACATTTCGCTTTCTTTAGAAAACGCGTGATGAAGATGCTGCCAAGTGTTACAAGGGACTGAACCTCGAATACTCATTTTTTTCTACTATTTTTCTTCTTGCAGGCCTCGACTCTATCGCTAGTTGCATAATACCATTGCGTTTGGCGACAACAGCTTTTATCGGACAGGTGTACGAATGTATTGTCATGTACCTAATACATAATTCAACGATGGCAATGTGTGGAAAGTGTAAATAATACAGGGGAACGCCTACGTATCAATGATTTTTTTTTACATAATCTTTAACGGGGCCTTTTGTTCGGTCCAAAATTTTACGGTTCGTTGACGTATGTACCTAGCCGTCAATAAAAATTTCAGAACTCAAATATCGATATTATTTTCTAATAAGAAAACACAAAAAATAATGTTTCAACAAAGTACTGTAACTTATTGTAAATTATGAATTTATAGTCTTTATATTGACCTTTTAGAGGTCGAAACAATGTTGTCGAGTGTAAATAAACAATTTTGTTGAAATATTCGTTTTTGTGTTTTCTTATTATTAAAAATGTTTATTGGAGAATACAGTTACAAAAGCTTAAGTATTGTATTGTATGTTATCAATACTTCGTCACAGAAAAACTATCTTTTTTATTTCAAAATGAATATGTTTTAATCAAGAAAACTGGAAACTTCGGCGGAACACACTAAATACGTAACTCAAACTCCGAAACGCGATATTAAATGTACGCTGTGTATGTATGCATGCATGCTTACTGAAAATTGTAATGATTAAACTTACCACGAGTTCTGCAAATTTGGCATCAAGTTCATCTTCCGAAGGCATAGGTTGTGTTGGAGTAAGGGCTTGTAGAGATAGCGTTCCTGAGTTTTCAACAACACAATAGGTGATTTCCGGTGGTTCATCGTTCTGAAAAAGAAATGATAGGTAGTGTAACTTCGACTAAAAAATAATTCACAGAAACTTTCAATTTTTAGTATATCTGTAGTTTAAGTATTATCACATGAACCTTATCTAGTTTTCATCTACTACCGATCAAAAAGCAGATACTCTTTTAAGCAAAAATGGTGGTAATTATATTAGATACGGTTAGTTTTCTTTAGTAATTTGCCATAGGGACTCATGAGTACAAATACAGAGGCTCTATAGTAGATAAATTTGGTGATTTAGCAAATTTGTAAAAAGTACTGCACCTACTTACTTAAAAAACAAAAATATTTTTCAAAAAACATGATCGATGATATCGGGTTGTCACCGGAAAAAGTATCATAAAAGTCCGGATATTTTGAGGTAGGTTTTCTTAAAATTTTCCGCTGTTTAATTGGTTTTTTTTTTCGTATTTTTTTGCCTCCCAAGACCTTACCATGGATGAATAAGAAACGGAATAGTTGGTAGGACATAATTAAGGTAAGATAAATAACTAAGAATCCATATGAAGACAATATGAAGTTAATTGTAAGGTATAAAATGAGATCAGAATACCAGAAGATAGGATAGAATGAGAAACACTAACGTTATGACAAAGGATGGGGAACCACATTCAGGCAAAAGTGGTAAAGGGTTTCCGTAATTATGCCCTTATGTAAATCCGACCCTGTCAGGGCTCAAATTGAGTGGTTAAGTTAACTCCGTAAGACCACGCGTACTCGAGTGCCTATTATTCGTTTATTTATGAACCCAAGTAGTTTCCTAATTAATTATGCGTTAACCAATTTACCGTTTTAATGTTTCGTACTAATAAATCAATGAAATTTCCCAATTAGGCGGCATTAAATTTTAAGGAATTTCTACTAAGTTGTAATAAATTCTGGAGGCGTATAAAGTATGCGCCCAAATCTAAAATTTCGCAACGCTCGCATAAATATTAATTGATGCACTTTCCATCTCATTTGAATTTCGTAATCGCGCTTCGATCGAACACACGAGAACTTTTCAATAATTCATCGGCATGTATGCTGTAGAGTCGAAGGTCGGTACCGTTGATATGTATCAGAGTTTTGCATCGAAAGTACCGTACCGCCAAACCTATAACGTTCACGATATCTATCAATAATGTCTCTTTGTGGCTGTGACATTTAATTCGACTGCGTTGAACAATAGAGAGGGGCGGCTGCGTTCCATCAAATATTCGTCAGCATTTGACACTTACACTTTTTCTTGTTTTTTTTTGTCGATCATGCATAATGAAAAGTTCGACAAGCAAAGAGAAAATATATTTTTGGGTCGCACTATTTCCTATTGCGTTTATATACCTGTGTAATTCAACGGTCAAAATGTGAAGTGTGTAAAAACTCCTTCGTATAAAAAGAGGCAAAAAAACGGCTGCAACACCCATTATAAATTGTTGCAAAATTAGCCGTAATTGAAGTGTAACGGTTGCCTTATTTATTGTTAAGTCTAACTTTTTGTATCAACAATATATTACGTAGAAATTAAAAAGGTTTAAAGGCCACTGCCTGCGAAAAAATTAGACCTCATATATCTAACAGTTTACAAAGGTGTGCTTGTGTCTAGTCCTCCAAAGTTTATATACCTTTGTGTGAATAGTTTAATGAATAATGTACAAAATTCCAACATGATTAAAAAATATTTAGTGATCCAAATGTAATTAAATACATTATACTAGGGGCTTCGCCCGTAGTATATTATAAGCTTATAAGAACTGCGATTCTAAGTAAAAATCGAAGAATATACGTCGTCCTTAGGATTTTGATGTCTTTCAACCATATTTGAGAAATTGGTAAGGGCTTTCGCGGTTAGTTGGTGAACAGTGCTGTTCTGATTGGGGTCTAAAATAATAATTTGATAAATTTGTTTTGACCAGGATCTTCAGGACAAAACTAGAATTTCTAATGAAAAGAAATTTCTCTATCCCTCAGGAACAGTTTTTTTTTTTCTCGATAAAAGGTAATCTATGTCCTTTTCCGTACCCCTGTCTGTACAAAATTTAATAATGATCGGTTGAATATTTAAAGCGTGAAGTAGTAACAAACAAACTCTCATTCATTTTTATATTTTAGTAACGCATGCAAATAGCTGTCAGTGTTGCTTTGTTATTTGTTTATAACTTCACAAATTTTTATTTAATATTTAAAATAATAAAAACAAGAAAAGATTTACCTCATATTCACTACAACAAGAGCAATTAAACGAAACACGTGTCCGCGGTTTTTAAAATTGTTGTGGTGAATACGGGGTAAGTCTTCGCTTGTTTTTATAATTCCCATCATCACAGTCTCCTTTTCTATTTCAAATTTTGATGTAATTGTTTAAATTAATTTTTAATTTGCTAAAAATTAACAAAAAATGCACAAAAAATATTGTCTTTATTATTCCCTACGGAGTGTAGCTTAACTTCATTTCCTGAGTGTCTTTATAATTTCATAAAACCAGTGGGTCAAGTTCTTGTGTCCTTTCTCTCATAAACAATAGAATTCCAAGCAGTTTCACTTGATGCAAGTTCAAAAGCTTTCTTATTCGAGAAAACAAGATAAACCCGTGAAGTACGCAGGTACACTAATCAAGTGTCAACTGGAACAGAAGACAAGTACAGAATAAAAACCATGGCGCCATGGTGACTTAACTCACAATACAAATAGATTTTACTGTTTTTCTAGATGGAAGTCTAAAGAATGTTCGAACTTGGATACAAACTGTAAACATCACAGATTTGTATGGAAATGTAAACAATAACATTTGACTTTGACTCGTAGTGAATTTAAAATCCTAACAGAAGCATCTAAACGATTTGTTTCATGGTGTTTTTTATTACTTTGATTCAAAAAAATTATCCTTATTTAAAACCATGTTTCTTCATCCAAAACGTTTTGTTGTTGTAAAAGAGCAATTTCCGATTTGAATAATGAAAATCCTTTACATAGTAATAGTCTAATGTTGGAAAATCTGTATGATATTTTATCGTAATATATTGGTTTTCACAAATTTACCTAATTGACGAAAATCTTTCGTTGTAGTTCCATTAAAAGGAGATTGTAGGTATTTAGGGCCTCGGGATAGAAAAATATTTTACTAGAAATCATCAAAGATAAAGAATCAGTTTCACTAACTTCGCATTCAAAAACAAAGTCTCTATCAAGTTAATTATCATTCCGTTTGTTCTGTGTCCACTGTATACACACAATTCTTTTGACTATAAGAACAAACATTCGGCACTACTGAAGTATTTACTTTTTTACGACTGATGTTTATTTACAATGTTTACAGTACACATTCCATCGTTTGTCATTTAAATGATGGAATGCAAAGAAAAAAGACTGTTTTCTTTGGATGTGACTAATTCATTTGCGACGCCGAGTAAAAGTCGATGCTGTAGTCTGTGACTTGCTTAAATCCAACCGGGAGAAAGTCAGATAATATGTAAAATTAAAGAAGAAAAGGAACCCAATCAAACCCAAAGACTTTGAAGGTTTTGGCACAATGATAGTGATTAGACGAATGTCTCAATGGTGTTCTATATACTAACAAAGAGCAAAGTAGACAACTAAGAATACTTGACTAATTTGCTTGATTTCGGATAGAAAAAAGGTTAGGTTGAAAGGTGAAGAAAGATTGTTCCAAAGAAAGGACATAGAGTGAGTAAGTAGATCATGTTGTTGTAATTTCGTATAACCTTTCAAATAATTTAGGCCTTTACGATCAATAAGCAAAATGAAGGTTAGTTAGTACCTTTGGTCCCGTCAGTACATCACATAAATTCCAAAAGTAAACTTCAAATAATTCAATTAAGAAATAAACTCTACCATCAACATCATAAGATCGTCAGTCTTAAGACTGGTATAGCTCTACCCCTTCTAACTCCCGTTTCTACCACTAGTTTTGAAAATGTTTTCGAAAATATTATTCATGTGTGTATGTAAATAAAATCCATAGATATTTATGTTTTAGCTTCCTCTTACATCATTAGGAATGGCAGAACCTAGATCACTCAGACATTATGTACTTCATTTGTTTGCAATCTTATTTTTATCATTATTATGTTGATAATAAAATTATTATTGCGATATAGTATTGTTTACATGTGATCACCTTTGAGTTGTATTTTTCAAACTGATTTTGTGTAGGTTAAAAGGTAGGAGCGTCTGCATAAAAATATTTGCTATTTACTAAAGTAGGCGATGAACGTTTATCAACACAAAATTGCCTTGGACGGATCGTGAGTGCCAGTAAATGTCAGCCGTCCTAGAAATTCAAATAGTTTTACTTAACGTCTCTCTTACTACGACGTAGTACAAACTAGTAGATAGAACAATTTAAAAAGCAATAAAAAAATTGAATATAAAGAAAAAAGGAAGAATAAATTCAACCATAGATTTTCTTGAAAAACACTAATCAGTTTTTCTTTAATTGCGCTTTTCTTAAACTAATTATCTTAGTAATAGCACATAACGCCGCAGTTCTTTATAATCTAAAATCCTAATTTTTATTCCAATTATCCAGTATTCAATCCAAACAAGTCATCCATCAATACTGGAAAAACTCCATCCTCTCTATTATTAGTATTACTTTGTACTGACACTAACATTTAATCTTAAATGTTATTTAAATTTTTGTATAAATCTTTTCTTAATTGATTTCATAAAACCTAAAAAACAGTACAGTAATCGCGCTTTAACGTGACACAAATGCAATAAATACATAGAAGACAATCGACAAAAGAAGAGTTAGACTCTATGCCTATTAGTGGTAATAAATGGGACTTTTTACTAGCGACAAGCGATTTTCAATAGACGATGACATACATACATACGCTTAAAGGGATTATGACATAAAAGGCTAAATAAAATACAATAATTTAACTTTTAAAGTTTTAGGAAAAAAACAGCTGACTGTGCAATTAGTTTTTATAAAGATAACCATTAAAAGTCATTTCTATTTTGAGATACCATAACTAAAATGAGCTTGCATACAATTCTCTGGAAGTTGTAGAAACACGTACAATATCTAGGACCACGTTGTTTTGCGGTTTTAGAGCTTCTAGCTTTCGAGAGTGGTCGTAATTACATGGATAGAACAAAAACTAGGGAAAAATGCTACAGTGTGCAGAAGAAAATACGAAAAAAAAAAGAACAATGTCGCTGTATTTACCTGTAAACAGCCGCACCAGCCGCGGCGGTTGCGCACGGCCGGCATGGCTGGACAGTGGACTCGAGGCAGGGCGCTGGTGACACTGTCCCACGTTGGCAGCTTAACCGTGGGAATTTTTACGGAACACCGAGGAAGACCCTGAAACAATAAATGCTCATTTAAAAAAAAAAAGATATCACCCTTTTCCTTATATTTAAATATGTTCTGGAGTAGGTACATATGCGTGTCAATCTCTTAGTTAATCGTGGATAAAATAGTCTAAAATTGCATTTTTCCGTTAAAGAGTGTAAAAAAAGGCAAAAGGTACGTGAACTGCCGCAACTGCGATCGATTTAACGTTTGAAATACTGGGGTTTTGTAAAAATTCACCCGACTTTATTAAGCTGTTTTTACCTTGCAATCATAACAGTTGTGGCTGTCTTTTCTCAATACGATATTCTAGTATTAACAAATCGAATTGCGTCACAAGTCACAACCCTACTTTCGATAACCAGGATGTTTCCATTTAATCGGTATTAGCCACGGAACTAAACAACTGCAAAATATTGGGCGGATTTAAATATCTATATTTGGGTGTACAGTTGATTGCATAAGCATCATACAATCTCATGACATATTATAACCATTAAATTTTTAAAATGTTTGAAATAGATTATAAAATTATTGAAATATCTCTATAATCAAATTGTTAAGTGCTGTGCACCATAGTAAACGGACGAATTCAGCTCATCATCCCTTAATAATTGTCATCATTTTTAGAATGGACAACGGGGGTTAACATGCAGGCTATTTTTGACTTAAGCATTGGTTATTTACTTGTAGTATATATTCAAAAGCTTCACTTTCACTTTGTGTGAAATGAGCTTTCAATTTCAGATAAAATTCTGAAATTAGTCGTAGTTGCGAATATTATTAAACATATACTTAATTACCCCTTATCTTTCTAGAATGCATATTTTCCCTCAATTTCGATAAACACTGACAACTGTATGATGTAAAATTGAAGTTAACTGAAAGGTTAAGGTTTTCTTGCATTGCTTATGTTATTTTAACAATAAAACGCCAGCAGTACTGTCAGTTTTCTGAATAAAATATAAATAATATAAATATGTCGTACTTCGTTAACGAAATATTTATATTTTATAATATTTTTACCACAATGCTAAAGGTGGCCTCCTTGACGTGTCAGAAATGGAACAATATAACTAAGAGAAAAAGATTATTGTGAAATTTATTGAAGTCTACAAGAAATTAATTATCTTTTTTTAGGTCGATCAATTCAAAGACAGTTTCTGAAAAGATAATTTTATTAATTATTCAATTAGGCGTGAAATTTAGAAAATGACAATAATTATTGTTAATTTAATAAAAGAATCAATTGAATACAAAGTAACGGTGAAGGCTGCATGTTTTTATTTTCAATAAAGCATACTTTAATTGTTTAATAACCTAAGGCATGATACGTACAAATGCTCGTATTGATTACTTAATTATTTCATAAACGAAAAAGAAATAAAAGAACTATGTTGTTGTATACTATAATTAGACCGCTTTCCTGATAAAGTATTATTGAGCAGGATGTTGAAGTTTAAATTAAGGGTAGGTTCAATTTTAATATCAATGGTACTCTTCCTTCATCGATTCTGGATATCAGCAGCCTAAATGAAACCTTATTATTCATTTAATAATTACGTAGTGTGTCGTTTGAAACAGTCACATAATTACAAAAATTTAAAAATACTTTTTTCATTACTTTAACAAAGAATAAACTGATAAGTATTCTACATCATTCTCCTATTTCTGAAAGTACTGAAGGTAATATTAGAAAGACAGGGCTATTAAAATAATTACAAAATAGAAAAAAGTATACCATNGCAAGCGGTTTACTATTATTCGTAAACAGAAACAGTAAAGTTGGATTACAAAACATACTAATGATTTGCAATACTTATTTTTCCTGTCGAACACAATAAAACTTTACCCAACATTGCTGCTGCACCTACGTTAGGTATAAAGAGTAGTCGGTCACTAGGAAATGAAAATGAATTGGCAAAAAAATAAGTGTAACATGATTTAGTTTCAATTAGTATGAATAACAATAAATTTCTTGTATATTTAAAATTATTTTTCTAAGGTAGTAACTAAACACATTTCAATTTCGTCAAAATTTTCCTATAACAAGAAATGGAAAACAAACAATCGAATATAATTCGGTTAGGTGGCTTTTTCTTTTGCATACTTCTTCTTTCACACGTCCATCAGTCATAAACTAATTATAAGTATGACCTTATTTAAATCTTGATATAAAGCTATTGGCAGATTTTTTTTCTCAAGGTAATTTCTGTTATTCGTTTTGCGTATGACTAATTAAGTCCTTTGAAAATGTAATACCGAAAAGGAAAAGGTATGAATTTCCACCTTTTTTTTGACAGTGATACTTCAGGAGTGTTGACAAGACAAACGGAAATATGTGTAATTTTTTTTTGAAACGTGATACAGACACGCCTCGTGTTACAATTGAGTTCAAAAGATTAAGGATAACTAAATACTAGTTAAATGGCATGTATGTGTACGGTATCAGCACACATACTTTATAATTATATTAGAGCACACTTACTGATCAAGATAAACTTATTCCGGTATCACAATTGCATTATCACCTTTATTATTTTAAATGAACAGTATTCAATATGTAAGACAACTGTCAATAAAAAACATTGACATTTCGCTGTTCAGTTATTAAGCAATTGATAACCTTTAAAAAATTTTTTGATAAAATATCGCTTTAGTTGTGTAAGCACAAGAAATAATTGAAGGAAATTAGTTACATACAGTTTTTTACAAAAATAATGCCATGTTATTATAGAATAATAATGTAGCAGCCCTTAAGACAACCAAATATTTAAAAAATCAATAAATACATTTTTAAGTGCCCAACTATTAATTAATTTTCTTAAATTGATCATGATTTTATTTTGAAAAAATCAGGATTAAAATCAACTGATTTAAATCATCTCAACCCTGTAAATTAATAAATAGTGTTAATAGTTTATCACTTTAATATTTACATTGTTTATTAAAACAGTAATGTTACGCGAAAATAAGAAAAAGGCTGTAAGACATTGTGATGTGCTTTTACATTGTGGACTTAATGGAAGTTTTATTGATTATATTGTGTAAATAAACAATAGCGTTATTATAATTTTATTTACTTATACAAATAGGGTAATTTTTCATTTATATAGAAGAACGTTTTTCCTTTAGAAAATTTGTTTTAAAGAAACTGCTTGTATAGTATTTTTATTAGAAAACGCTGATCTACTATTTTTGCTCCAAATATGACTAACATTAGCCATATCTTTACAACTTATTTATGATTGTTACATCACCCTTATACAGGTTAAACTTTTGCTTATTATTATGCCATTACAGCTCATAAAAGTCATGTTCTTTACTGAGCAATTTGTTCTTATTCTACAAAGTATATTGAGCACTAAACTGTTCCACAATTAATATTGATCGCAAATAACTGGATCCCTATTATAATATAATTAACATAAGATTAAACAACTGCTACATAATTGTATTAAATTAGACAACTAGAACACGGACATGCACATTTACATCCACACACACATTTTTATTGTTATATGTGTATGTTTCTCTACTCAGTTGTAACAAGAAGTTTGTTCTAAGAATTTATTTATTGGATTACAATTTTTAAGATACGAAGTATGCCATTCATCCTTGACTTAGTTAGATGCAAAGAATTCTTTATTGATTTACATTAATTTGTAAGAATTAATATTCCAACGGCCATGGCCTGAAAAAATTTATTTTATTTTCTGGAGAAAAAGCGGAAGTCATTTGCGGATTGAAAGATGAATACGTCTTCAAACATTAAAAAATTGCAGGTAGTCAATGCCTCGATTTAATTTATTTATTTCTAGTGTGTCTAGACAGGGTATTATACCTACTGCATATACTGTATTTTCTAGGTGGCCTCAAACTCGAAAAGTTAAAATAAATTAGAAACTATTACGTATTTTTTAAATTAGACACAATTTATTTTTTTTTATTTGGTTTCACGTTGAAACTTGTTTCGGTACACAGCGGGTTCTTCGGGTAAAAATATAAAAGAATATTAGGTCTACAATACTACAATTAACAGGAAATACCAGTAGATGGCGTTATGTTGCCCATTCATACCTTGTATTCGAACTGTTTTATAGTACTAAAATGTACTAGCATAAGAGAGCGAAGCCGCAGGTAACACATATTGCCAGGGGTACTGAAAAGGACCTAGGGTACCTTTTATCCAGAAAAAAATACTATTCCCGAGGGACAGAAAAATTAGTTTTATGTGATCATCGGTAATCTGGGACATTAACGCAATTCATTGGTATGGTAAAGCATTAAATTTGTAAATCAAATCTCTGAAATTATATCCACTAGAATATTCATACTAGAAAAACTTTTCTTGCTCAATTACAAATTTCTATACAAATTAATATTCTGAGAAGCCAGTCAATGATAGTAAGCAAGCGGTTTACTATTATTCGTAAACAGAAACAGTAAAGTTGGATTACAAAACATACTAATGATTTGCAATACTTATTTTTCCTGTCGAACACAATAAAACTTTACCCAACATTGCTGCTGCACCTACGTTAGGTATAAAGAGTAGTCGGTCACTAGGAAATGAAAATGAATTGGCAAAAAAATAAGTGTAACATGATTTAGTTTACCAAGACACTAGCACTACCGTCAGATAGACAGACAGACTCCAGATGTAGGTAATTGTGGCATAATAACGTTTCTCGGTATTATACAGTAGATCTACGTGCGGTGTAGTACGCAACACGTTTACTTACCTATGTCGAATTTCAACATATCTGTTTTTTATTTGTTTCGTGAAACAAATCGATAATTATTTAGTAAGCAAATCATTGGAAGCACTTTTGTGTAATTAATTAGAAATGGGCGCGCCGTTTGCCCACTGGAATTATTCGATTCTAGGGATGCGCAGTTATACAATTAGGTTCAATTAAATTAAATAAGCACTTTAGGAATTATAAAATTCAATTAGAGGATTGGAAAAACGGGTCAACTTGGCTAATGATACCGAAAACTGAATT